CTTGAACTGACGACCCCTGAGATCGAGGGTCGCATGCTCTACTGACCTAGCCAGCCTTTTGACCTCTATTTAAATACCACGTTTTCAGGGAGTGCTCCACCTCATGAAGCAACTTTGGAAAACTTCACTGTAAAAAAATTGAATTAAGCCCAATTCTGCCTCCTTGTAGTTTCTATAAGCTATTCTTAGTTCTGACCTTATAAAATACAAGAATAAAGTTTTTTTTTAAATTCTGGGATATTTTAATGACTTGAAGCATGTGGGTTTGTTTAGCTGTCAGAAAAGGCTGGGTACTGCCACAGTAACAAGCAGTCCCCACATCTCAGTGGCTGAATCAAACAACAGTTTATTTCTTGCTCCTGCTACGTCCAACAGGGGTCAGCAGGACAGCTCTGTTAATCATTTCCCCGCAGGGATCTAGACGGATAGCCTGAGGGAAGTTTCATCTTGACACACCCGTGTTGGTGAGAACCTGTAGTGAGCTGCTCACAGACTCTTGAACTCCCATGCTGAAGTCGCAAAAATGACTTAGGTTCACATTTCCCAAGCCCGAGCAACTCATTAATCTGTGTCCAACTTCAAAAGAATGGGGATGGTGCAATCTTACCGTGATCCTGTAAGACAGAGGTTAGAAATATTTGGAATATAGCTTTAATATCCCTCCTCGATTTGGGGCGGGACTACTGGGATGAGACCTGGCTCCACCCACCCAAATTATGTGACTGTAAGCATATAGCTTGGCCCTTGTGCCCTAGCTTTCTCACCTGCTAGGGTGGATAACAGTGACTACTTTGCATATAATAAGTACTCAATACATATTAATTACTCTTACTCTTTGATTTTTACTGCCTTTTATATGTTTGAAGGCAATTATCACATTCTCCTTAAAATTCTCTTTTTTAGCCTTACCATCGTTCCTAGCTTCTTTAGCTTTCCTATATGTAAGCCTTTCACCCTTCTGATTTCCTTTTCAGATTATACTATATTTTATAAATATTCTTTCAAAAATACAGTGCCCAGAACTGAACACAGTGCTCCAGATGGGATATGGCCATGGCAAAATGTATTAGGCTAGTTCATTTCCTTGATTGATAGACAACATATGCTTCTGTAGTAGGAGATTACACCTAATAATTCAGTATCCATGTCTTGCTATTGTCTCCATAGTACATTCTCTGTCATTCAAGTGTTCAGAAAATTTTTCACATCAGCTGCTATTAAGCCAGGATGTCTCCATTTCTATACTGGTACAACTGAACTTAAAACCAACCAACCGACAAACAAACAAAAAATCTTTAACTATGGGATTTTATTTTTATTCCTTCTATAATATTTATCACCATCTTAGCTCATCTTTCTGTCACGGTAATTTTGAACCTTAATTCTATGACATAGCATCCCTCTCCCCAGCTCTGGACCATCTGCAGATTCGATAAGTACTCTTTTTGAGCACTTTCTGTGTACCTGATATCTAGCTCTCTATCTAGATATAGATATATTGTTGAACGTGATTTTACAGATAGGGAAATTGAAATTCATAGACTCTCTAAGTGTTGAGCCCCAAATCACATTGATAATAAGTGGGGAGCCAGAATTCAAACTGATTTTTCTGAGTCCAGAGTCCATGTTTCTGAGTTCTGAGTCCTTCTTTCCAGACAGAGAGGCTGCTTTATTTTAATTCAATGAGCCTGACCATTGTGTCTGCTGCTGATATGTTACTGTCATGGAGGGCAAGGACAGAGCTTTCTGCCACACCTCTAGAACCTTCCTCCATCTTGTCGCCAACCCATTATTCAGGACACTTGGAGAACGGTTGCTCAGCCTATGGAAAGAGTTGCTGCAAGATCCTTAGTTTTCCAAGTTGAATGCAAAGTTACTAAGAGAGATTTTAAAAACATGTCTCAATAAACACACAATATGCTTTGTCTGTAGCGTACCTACTTCTTAACTCCCACCTTAAGGAAATGAATTTAGTTAATAAATGAATAAATTACGAAGAAATTTCACAACAAAAGTGTATAGCTGAATAAGAGTAAAAAAAAAAAAAAAGTCTCTGAGTTACACTTTGAGTGCCAAGTGCCAAGTTTGAAGTATGACTTGGGTGTTTATATTGTGGTTCTGGACCTACCTAAACAACTTGTTAAATTATGCAGCTAGATTTTTCTTATGATAGACACTTATACTGCCCCAATCCTCCATGGTTGGCTCATACAAGTTTTTGTTTATAACTTTTGACAGTAAGTGCATAAAAAAGCAATTTTAAATGAATAGGAAATATTTTTCACCATTTCTCAAGATGGTTTCCAGAGTTTTCCCTGCAGTGAAGAAATTACTAACGGGAGGAGAGTTATGATATATGGTCTGCCAAGAGCAAATGATATTGGGAAGACTCTGTCATCCAGTGGAAACAAAGTAATGACATTATGATTACATGGGTCTATTGATAACTCCCTTTCAGGAGCCATGGGTCATTTCCCACGTGGGCCACTTTTGTGCAAGATGTTTCCTTTGTGAAGTCAGTAAGGGTTCTGGGTGTAGGGGGGAGAGCACTTGAAACATGTGAGCTGTGGTGCTTACCTTTTTATCATTTGTCGTGTGCTTTTTTGGTCCTGGGTGAAAAGTTTTCAAGATGATCCAGAGAAAGTGAAGCTCTCCTCCTTATCCTGCGTAAGGGAAGACAGCTGGAAATAGAATTCTAGGTTTATAAAGGCCTCTCCAAATCATCAGAATGCCTGGAGTGCATGTGAATTTTACAAAGATGCCCTGAGGAAGGAAAGTTTGCCCTTAGGCTGGGAAAAAATGTTCTTGCTTACCTGGCCCCCAGGCCACACTTGAATCTGGGACTATATTTACTTACCCAAACTTGGAAGTGTTTGAAACCTTTCAGAACTTTGGTTTAGTTTGACAGTAGGCATTTGAGGAACATAAAAAACGTGCCTTCCAAGTAATGCTGCAATTGGCAGTGTTCCCTCAAAGTAATGGTCCATGGAGACAGGATTTTGCTGACGGCTCTTGTAAGTAATGTTTAAAATGGCCAGGGGACTGTCCGGGAGGCGTTTCTGTCAGTGATTTCTATAGCTGATTAATTTCCTCTGGGCGTTATTCCTACAGATAATGTTCCTGTGAGTCAGGGGATAAAGCTTACTAGGAATAGGTAGGCTGGTTGTAGGGAATGCAGGCTGTGACTGGCAGCGCAGCCCTCCATTTCTGAGAAGAGGCAGAAGTCCATTTAGGCATGTAAGCACTTTTTAAAAACTTAAACTTCTAGGAAAATATAATGTTAAAACTTACCTGTACTCTTGACTTGGACTTACGTGGCATTCAAAAAACCGTTCTACTCCATCAGAAAATAATGAGATGAGGCAAACAAACAATAAACAAAGCAGCAAACAAACAATAAACAAAGCAACGGGCTCAAATTGGCAGACTCAGCTTAGAGACCCAGTCTTTCACCAGCTGTACAACTTGGGCAAGTTATCTCCCTTCTCTCTC